CCCCAAAACCCCAAAACCCCAAAACCCCAAAACCCCAAAACCCCTTTTAAAATAACTCTGATTGAAAGAGAAGACTACAAATGAATCTCAAGTGGTGGTGAGTCCTCTGTCCTTGCTGTTAAGATCTCGCAACCATCATCAGTGATTAGAAGAGTGTGCTCGAACTGGGCAGATCTTTGACCATCAGCTGTGACAGCAGTCCAGTTATCATTCCATAGAAGATCTTTCCACTTTCCTGCATTGATCATTGGCTCAATTGTGAAAATATGGCCTGCCTTCATGAACCCATTTGCTTTGTTTCCTTTATAATGTGGCACGTTTGGATTGCAATGGAATAACTTTCCGACACCGTGTCCGCAGTAGGTCCTAACAACACTGAACCCAAGCTCTTCAACATGGTCGCTAATAACCTTGCCTATCTGTCTATACATGACACCTGGCTTGCAGATTTCGATTGCCTTCATAAGGGCATCATGGGCAGCTGTGACAAGGGTTTTTGAAGATTCTGCAACATCTCCGATCAGGAAGGTTTCATTAAGATCTGAATGATACCCATCTTTATAAACAGAGATATCTCAATTCAAGATATCTCCATCTTGTAAAGGCCTCATATCTGGAATTCCATGGCAAATGACCTCATTGATACTTGAGCAATAGGATTTTGGGAAATTGTAGTAATTGAGAGGGCTAGGATAAGCATCATTTTCGATAATAGTCTCATGGACTACTCTGTCAATCTCGTCAGTAGTGACTCCAACCTTTGCAGCTGCATGGGCAGCATCAAGAGCCATCCTTCCGATCTTACTAGCCAGCCTGATGCCTTCAATCTCTTCATCAGTATAGACAGGGATGTGTTTACTGCCTTGAACCTTGATCTCAGATAAGGGTTGCCCAGTCTTGTGGTAATCTGGCTTCTGAATATGAGCTGGTACGTCTCTTTTCTTGCTAATCTCGTACCTTCTAAGGGGGCCGGTATATCTACGAACAGATTAACTTTTGCTTGGATTTAAAATCTTACTTGAACCCATCGTTGACAATCCCGCTGTCATCACCCTTATCCTCCTTCTTCTTTTTATGGAACAACTTGTGGAGTGGCCAGAAGTCTTTGAAACATTTCTGGCCGCAGAAAAAGGCTGGTTCAAGTCCGAGCTTGATACAGGTGGGTCACTGCAGAGCAGCTGGTTTTTCACACTCAGGATTATTGCATTTCTGGGCTGGGATCTCCTCCTTTTCCATTTTTTAAACACACGAAAATATCTATTAATTATATAGTTTATGGGGTTTTGGGGTTTTGGGGTTTTGGGGTTTTGGGGTTTTGGGG